CTGGCCCTGTGGTTTCTGCCCCGTGGTGTGGTGACAGCAGGGTGCTGCCTCTGCTCAAACGTCTCTCTTGGTCTGAGTCAGGCCCAGCTCTGCTCATCCTGTCCCTGTCTTGCCCTTGTTTCACTAAGGGTGCTTGGGTGTGTGTGCTGCCTTGCCGACACAGGGAAGTTCCTGCCCAAGGGCTGAACTGCCCCATGCTCGATGAGCCATGCCCTGTCTCTCCTTCCCTTGGTCCCCTTCTCACACCAAACCCTAACCTCCTTCCTGGCAGTTCATTAGCTGGTCAGGAGGGATGCAAGGGCTGGCAAGAAGGGGTTAAATCCAGCCGGTAACTCCAGGCTGGACCCTGGCAGATAGGGGGAATAGCCATTGTGTCCTTTCTTGGTTGCTCTTTGTTCTGCCCACAATAGTCCCTATTTCCTGCCCTCTGTCCCCTCCAAGACACTGGAAAGGGCACCCCCTTCTCCTTCCTGCTTCTTTCTGCACAGGGAGGGCAGATCCCTCTTCTTTTCCAAATCTGCTCCTGGTGTTGCACAATCCAGGCTGGACTAGCTGCTGCCAGAGGAGAGTTACGAGTTTTCCTCTCCTTGCTTTGGGGAGAACTTCCAGCTGTCTTGGTATCCTTAGGATGCTGGAGCCCAGTCTGGGGAAACTTTGCACTTGAAAGAAAAGAGAGGGGGGGAGGAAAATGGCCATTAGGCAGAAATCCTGGACAGGAGCAAGTCCAAACCCACTGGTTTTCTGCTGAGTTGGATGATCTGCAGTGGTAGAGTTGCATAAGGAACATCCCCTGTCCCAAAGGCACCCCGAAGGCAGCTTGGTACATGCCAGGGTGCCTGCAAGGGGCTGGGCTGAGCTCCTGTTCTGCCAGCGTGGGATCTCCTGGCTTCCTCCAGCTCAGTAATTGCAGGCTTTGAAAAATTCCTGCTCTCAGGGCATAGGGAATGGGTTTGCCCTCTGGAGAGCACACTCCTCTGATGGTGGCTCCTAAATTTCTCTAGCACCTTGGCCAGGGTCCATATCCTTGGTGTGGCTGTGATGGACCGTGCTGGCACATGTATCACGCATGGGCTCCCACTGGAGCAGCTGGGACCATGGGAGCTCCTCATCCCAAAACAGCTCCCCCCAGCCCTGGGCTGTATGCCAGGGCCTGCTGAGCACTGCTGTACTCAGCTCATGTGTGAGGGTCCCTCCCTGCTGCCCCCTGTACCAAACAGCCTGTGTGGCTTCAAGGAGTGGGGGGCCCCTTAATTGCTTGCCCCAAATGATGCTGCTCTCCTTGTCCATAAAAGCCCCAGAGCCGGCGAGCGGTGCGCGTGGAGCGCCAGGCGGGAGGGTGGAGGACCCTCGCCGCACAATGAGCTCATTGTTTGCGAGGAGGTTATTAAAAAATTATAGCATTTAAAATTACAGTGGAGGATTCTTCCTCTTGCCGAAAGGAGCCAGGGAGAGAAAAGGCCCATGGCCTTGCCAGCCCTTCTTGCACAGCTTCTGTGGGTTCCAGCCCTGGGACCCCTGTGCCCTGGGATCCCCCCCAGACTGAGGAAAGCCATGGCCACTCGGAGTGAGGACATTGCCATGGCAGGGACATTGCCATTGTGCTGCTCCCAGCCCATTGGGGTGGCATGAGGAGATATTTACTCTAAAGGAGTAGGATTCTCCCTCCTAACCCCTATGGGCTGGAGAGAAATCATCTGCTATGGGGCACAAAGCTGTGCAGGGACCTGTTCTGCCAGCACCCTTGGAGCCCCTTGCCCAGCTGGAGGCTGAGCCCCCCAGCACCCAAGCAAGGTGGCTGCTTCCTTCTCTCCTTGGGGTGAGAGGGGGTGCAGCCCACCTGGGTACTGTGTGGGTGGGTGCTGGGCTTCTCCATCCTCTTCCAGCATGGGGAAGTGAGACGTGGCACAGGGGCAGGATTCGTGCACCCCAAGGTCACGAGGTGCCTGCCTGGCCAGGTTTCCTTTTTTTGGCGGGTGTGCTGCCAGGGAAGGGGGGAGTGGTGGCGGGTGTGGGGTCTGCTGAGTGTGTGTCACCCTGGGAAGCCAGTCCAGGGAGGGTGACCCCAGGGTGGCCCTGGCTGGTGAAGCGCCTTGTGCAGCACCCAGCCATGAGCAAGAGCTAGGTCGGCATGGGGGGAAATGAGTCACCCAAAAGGAGAAATGAAGGCGAGGGTGAACAAAAATAAAAAAAAAAAAATTAAAAAGCAATAAGCCTTCCCCAAGGGTGAGGAGGAGGAGGCAGAGGGCTGCTGGCGGCTGCTTGGCTCCTTGCAGGCGTCTGGGGGGGAGCTGACCCCATCCCGGCCATAGGGACCCCGGGTGCCTCTGGGTCCATACGCATTGTGCGGGGCTGTGTGGAGCGGTGGCAGCTATTGTTTGGGAGGGATTTGGCATCCTGTGTTTCTTGAAGCTGCAGTTTTGAGAACAATGAGGTTTCCTGCAGAGGCTGGGGGGGGCCGCCGGCCCTTCCTCTCCTGCACCCTGCAGGAAAAGTTACTACGGGGCAGCCCAAGAGGTCCTGGCACCCCTCAGTGCCATGGCTGGCACAGAGGCCAAGTGGGGGAGAGGTTAGGGGATGGTGTATGAGGGTTTTGGGTGCTTTACACCTAGGAGGGGGGTGCAGGGGTTTGGCCCTGTGGCTTTTGGATCTGGAGATGGTGGCTTGGTAGGTGACAGCTCAGTTATCATGTCCCATCCCACTCACCCCACTGCAAACCAGATGCCGCCCTGATGCCCAGTGCTTTGCATTGGGGAAGCCGAAAGCTGAGCCACACTTTTCCCTTGTCACACCAACATGGGGTTTTCTTGTCCCTGTCCTTTCCCGGGCTTGGCTGGTGCCTTTGCTACTCACCCCTGCTACCCTGGGTCAAAGGGGCTGAGCAGGGAAGGGAACAGCCCCTCCACCTATGAAATGCAGACAAATAATTTAAAAATAGAGGCTTTAATTTTTTTAGTTGTTTTGTGGTGAGGCTAGGAGGGAGGTGGAGACCCTGTGAGGTCCAAATAGCTCCTGTGAGGTGACTTGCAGGCCTGGGTGCCCCTGTTCTGGTCTCCAAATGCCACCTGGTCCACCAGTACCAGGAAAATGCTGGGGATGTACATGGAGAGAGGCCAGAGGGAAGATGCCTCGTTAGGATGAAGCATTTTGGTGCGGGTGAGGAATAAACAATTGTCCCTGTGGTCTATTTATAGTGGCCAAGCTGGAGGATTAGTTGTGGGGTTATTTTTGGAGTGGCTGAAGGCACAGTTGCTGGATGGTGTTTCTGAGCTAATCAAGGAAACACTTTCTGTCTCACCCATGCAGAGGCTGTGTGTCCCCTGGCTCCCCTGTCCCCCTCGGTGGGGCTGAAGCCTGGGGTAGGGAGGTACTGAGGCACCACATGTCTTGGGGTGGATATAAAAGAGCTTGTGATTGAGTTGTTTTGGGCATCCTTGGATGGTATCCCCCTTCCTGGGGTCAGCTCATATCCCCAGCAGCCACCTGACTCCTCCCTGAGCACCTGTGAGAGCATGGTGCTGGTGAGCCCTGCACTGGTTGGGGGTGATATCCCCCTCCATGCACATCACTGACCCCGTCTTCACCCCAGCAGTGACCCATGACCACAATGACCATGGGCATCCTTGGCCCTGGAGCCTAGGGGCTAAGGTCCTCCAGCTGTCCCCTCCTCATCAGAGCGTCCCCTATTCTCTAATCCTTTGCTCGCAGCCTTCCTGACCCATGGGGGGCTGACCTTTGTCTCTCCCCAAAAGCAGAGCTTTGCGGTGGGTTGTGCATTTGTGAGAACTTGCCTTCCCACCTCCTCCATCCTTTTTTTTTTTCTTCTTTCTTTTTCCCTTTTCAAGCCCCGAAGGTCACTTGTTGCCCCGTCCCCGGGAACGTGCCCTCCTTCCCCCCACCACCATTCAGCCTCTCTCCAGATCAGGGTGCTCCCCACCAGCCTCTCTGCTCGGAGACCTGAGCAAACACGGGGCCGGCCGGGTTAACCAGCGCAGCTGTATGCTAATAACCGCCGCTGCCCGCTTAACTCTCCTCTGCTGAGTAAAGTCAACCCCGCTATTGTACCCACCCCCTCAAATAAACCACAAAACCCCAGCGCGTTCGCGGGCTGCGGGGTGGCACCCGATTTCCAGCTCACTTGTAATCCATCATCCCCAGGGCTGGGGCTTCATCGTCCACCCTTCTCCACCGCCTCCTGCCTTCCCCCTCCCCAACCCTTTTGTCTTTCTTCCTTTGCCCTTTTGTGCACGTCTGGTTTCTAATAGCGCTTGGCAGCTGGTTGTGGTTTCTCTCCTTCAGCTTTGTTTGCTGCCTGCTGATTGATGGAGATGCCTTTCCCACCCCCTGCTCTCGTCCCCAAATCCCAGGCCAGCAGCAGCAGCCCCCACCAACCCTCCTTCCCAGGCGGCATATGCCGGGAATTAGCTGTGTAAATAGAGGAGTGCAGCTGGGCGAGCAGCTCGGGTGCCCCAGCAGGAGGAAGGTTGCTGCCTGGCACCGTGGGGACCGTGCTGGGGTGGGCAATGAGGGCCTGTCCCTTCATTGGGGCTCGAAAGAGGCACCCACCAGCTCAGCCACCCGGGATGGGAGCGGAGAGGAGCCGTGGGGGTGTTGTGCAAGTGTGCTGTTGACACAGGTGGCGACGCGGTTGGCAGGCGGTGCTGTGGGCAAACACACCTGCCCGGGCAGGGCCAGCCGTCGGGACGATGCTTTGAGTCCCCAGCCGCACGTGCCGGCTAAAGTCTGAAGTCCTGCCCAGATCAAGCTGCGCTCTGTACCCGCTCCCCATCACCTGCTCCTCTCGTGTTACACGCCATGTCCTGCTGGGACAGCTTTGCACCCTCCTCTGTCTGAGTTCGAGTGTGTCACAGGGATACCAAGCTCTCTGGTACTGTTTTGGGGTTTTAGTGAGGGGGAAGAAGTTAACACCAAGCCCCAGTGATGCCCAGGACATCCGAGCTGCACGGCCTCAGTCCTCAAAGGTGCCTCCTCTTCTATTTCAGACCTTCATCTTCACGGATGGAGAGGATGAGGAGCTGAAGAAGCAAGCACGTGAGTCTGTGGTCCTTTGTCCCTTTGCATGCCTGACCTGGCCAGGTCCCCTGAGGAGCCCCTGCCTAGGGAGGACGGCTGGTGTGGAGCCTGCCCTGGGGAACTCTGAAAAAAATGGTCAGAATGCCACCAGTTAGTCACTAATCTCAGGAGCCCTCACCACAGGAACCTGGGCTGAGAATGAGACAACTTGTGTCACTGATGGTGCCTAAAGCACCCTTTGCCCCGGAGCCTGGGGATGGGTTTCCTTGCCAGTCAGCCCAGCCCATGGTGCTGTTGGAAAGCAGACCCCGCCTTTGCACCAGTTTGCCCCTGGGGCAAACGGACTGATGGGAGAAGCAGCCAGGCTTTCATGGGAGCATTTCCCTGGCAGCGGCTCCGCGGGGCTGGGTCAGCTCGGTCTATTCTCCCCATGCAAATGACTCCTTTTCAGGCGGGAAGCGATTGCCTTTGAGCTAGGCAAGCAAATAACAGGTGGCCTCTGTGGGAAAAGGCATCAGGAATAGGGCAGGATTTTAGCTATGGTGTCCTGGGTGGAGAAGCTGGTGCATGGACACCCCCTCGCTCCCGGGGTGACTGGTGCATGGCCCCGGGATGGGCAAGGTGATGTAGGGTGATAACTTGTGGGATACGGCTCAACCCCGATGCATGTGCCGTATCTGCATTCCATGCTTATTCCTTCCCTTCTCTCATGTGGACCCAAAAAACATTCCCCTCAAATTCATTCTTTGGACAAAACAATGAGGTAGGGAGTCCACCGAGTACCAGGGAGATCCATAGGGTTTCCATCCCGCTGGAATGTGCCTGGTGAAGTGTCACTGTTTGAGCAAGCAGGGATCTGGGGACACCCTGGCACTAAGATTTGACCCCCATCTCTTCCTGCAGGAAATGTCATCAACACCAACTGCTCGGCTGCCCACAGCCGCCAGGCGCTGTCCTGCAAGATGGCTGTGGAGTATGACAAGTTCATTGAGTCCGGCAGAAAGTAAGCAGCACCCAGGGTTGCTAGAGTGGGAGGGGGCGCATGGTTTAGACAGAGGCTATTCATATTTTTGGGGCCATATCCCAGGGTGGGGTCTGGAGAGCTGCCCCAGCCTGGTGTGACATTGCTGCTCCTGCAGGTGGTTCTGCCATGTGGATGATGACAACTACGTGAATGTGCGCACGCTGGTGAAGCTGCTCTCCAGTTACCCCCACACGCAGGACATCTACATTGGGAAGCCCAGCCTGGACCGACCCATCCAGGCTACAGAGAGGATCAGCGAGAACAAGATGGTGAGGGGTTGGAGCTGACTTAATATGGTCTGGGGTTTGCTTCCAGGTCAGCAGGAGGAGGTCTCACTGTTGTTGCTTCCCCTCTTTCGCAGCACCCTGTGCATTTTTGGTTTGCCACGGGCGGAGCAGGGTTTTGTATCAGCCGGGGGCTGGCGCTGAAGATGAGCCCGTGGGCAAGGTAAGAGCGTTGGCATTGCTTTTCTGTGGGGACTCGTCATGGCCACAGTCAGGCGCAGAGCAGCGACAACGTTTTTGGGAATGGATGTTGGACCATGTCCTACCACCCTGCTCTCTTTGCCTTGCTGGGGGTTTCTGTAGGGGGCTTGGAAATAAGCTGGGAAGGACCTTGGTTCACTTTAATTGACTTTTAATTAGAGTTGGGCACCACTGGCCAACCCCAGACCCCATGGGGTGGCCATGTCTACCTCTGGGCTTTGCTCCTATGCAGCTTTTCTCTCTCTCCCCGCAGTGGGGGCCACTTCATGAGCACCGCAGAGAAGATTCGCCTGCCCGATGACTGCACCATCGGGTACATCATCGAGTCTGTGCTGGGGGTGAAGCTCATCCGGAGCAACCTCTTCCACTCACACCTGGAGAACCTCCACCAGGTGCCCAAGACAGAGATCCACAAACAGGTATCCTTGTCCTGATGCCCTGGGGTGGATGGAGGGGTTGGGATGGATGGTACTGTCATCTGGTTTCATGTTGTCATCTAAAAACTGGGCATAGTGTCTAAGATATTGATAGACATGCAACGAAAATGTCAGTGGAGGGGACAAGTCCCACCAGCCCATCCCTGTGAGGTGATGCAAAGTGTGACTGGAGGCTGTGGGAAATGGGGTGAATTTTACAGACCCCCTATGCCCTTGCTCAGTCGTTATGGCCACATTGGTCGCTTGACCCCCACCCTGTGCTTCCCTGTCCCCAGGTGACACTAAGCTACGGCATGTTTGAAAACAAGCGCAACTCCATCCACATGAAGGGAGCCTTCTCCGTTGAGGAGGACCCATCCAGGTGAGATAGGGGCCCGTGTCCCCCTCCCCTAGGCTGGGGTGCCATGGGGCCACCGCTGCCCCGTGCTCAGCATCGCTCCTTCTCCCTGCAGGTTTCGCTCTGTGCACTGCCTGCTGTACCCTGACACGCCGTGGTGCCCTGCCAACGTGGTTTACTAGGAAATGTGTGTCCCCTCCAACCTCGTCCCGAATTTCCCCGGTATCCGACGGGCGTGCGGGACCTGCGTGCGGGTGTGTCAGTCCGGCCTTGCCGTGAGGCGGATGAACGGACAGACAGACGTCGTTGCTGTGGTATTGCACAGTGTGTGTGTACTGAAGGCTGCTGTGCGGCCCCATGTCCCTTGTCCCCTGCCCCCTGCCCATGCCTGCTCCTGCTGTCCCGGTGGGGGGGGCCAAGTCCTGAGCACTTAACCATACGGCACCCCCGTGATGCTGTGGGCCCCACGCCATGCGTGGGGAGCGACTGCAGCCATCATGGGGCTCTGCCTCCCCCGGGCTTGCTTCTCCTGTATTTTTTCCTTTCAAATGTTAAGTTTTTTGGTGTGTGCCTCTCCTCCTCTCCTCTGACCCACACCTTATAACCCCTCACCCGCCTCATCCTCTCTCCCAGCCCCAAAATCTCAGCAGCGAAGCTCTGGCTCCTGATTTGGATGAAGGGAGGCACCCACTGTGGGCAGGTAGCATTTCCCAGCCTTGCCATTGCTCCCTCCCTGCTGGGAGCTGGGGAAGAATTTGGGCAGGGAGGGACCCCCCATAGCCACCCTGCCTGCTGCCACCGGCCCTACACCCTTGGGGTGAACAGGCTGAGCCGGAGCTGAACATTTCCAACCCGAAGCTGAGTGAAAATAGCCCATAATGGGTGCATTGTAAATACGTTATTGCGCCAGTATTTTTTTTACTGTGCCTTTTTTTAAAAAAACAAAAACAAAACACATTGAGAAATATGTAGATTTTAAAATGTTTTTTATACGTTTTCTGTGGATCAGAAAAGAAAACAGCCTTCTGATAATCTGTTTAAGAAAGAAAAAAAAAATTTGCAATGTCTTGTAACTATCACTTACTTAATTTATATGTTCCAGTATCTGGAATGTCACTCTATGCTTTTTGTAACTAGGATGTGTTTAAAGCAATAGATGTGGGATGGGGAACCAGCATGGATGGTGTGTTCTCAGGGACTCGAACCCGATTGCTGCCATGGCGTTCCCGTGGGAGCCATCACCAATAAAGCAGCTTTTTTGCTGACCACAGTCACCTGGTCCTGGGCTCCGGTGTCTCTTTATGGCTGCACCGAACACCCCTTATTTCCCTCATGGATATTATCACCTCTAACGAAGCTCTCAGGGATGTACTGAGGAGGGGGTGTGCCTGCATCTCTCTTTTCCCACGGGTACCAGGATCCGCCGACCATTTGCATCCCATGGCATGAGGGTCTTCTCCTCCTTCCCCTTCCCCAAAAGGCTCTGACACCTCGGGGCTGGTTTTTCCCAGGCTCTGGGATGAGAGCGGAGGCGGGGGTTGAGGTGTGAGCCGGTTGTTAGCGGGGTGTTGTTAACAGCCGGCGGGCAGGCGTGTGCGTGGGAAGGTTGGGGGCTGCAGGAGGGGCCAGCCTCAGCCCTCCCTTCGCTCTCTCCACCACTGTTTTAGCAACAACACCAAGCGCCCACCTGCCAGTAACAAACCCCAACTTTCATGTGCTGTGACAACAGCATCAGATCTGCCCCCGCTTCCTAAAACTGGCCTTGTTTGTGCTGCAGTGGTACCAGCTTTGGTCTGTGCCATCCTCTCCACCCCCTCACCCCCTTCCTCCATACCTAGCATCTTTTTTTTATTTTTTTTCCTTTTTGAGGCACACTTACTTCACAGTTTCACTTGAATCACTTGGTTATCAGGGGTTGGCCTTGCTAAAAATACAGCCTAGCAGGAAGTCGGCATGTGCTAAAGCAACACCCCTCCTCCTCCCAACACGCACTCAGCCCCGAAAATCAAAAGTTCCCCAAATCTGCAGCCCTTGCAATGCTGCGGGCAAAGGGGGGACCTCTGGATCCTGGTCTGGGGAACTGAGCATCATCCTAACCCAGATCCCCCCGGAACAGTCACAGATACCTGGTGATGGGGGCCAAGAACAGGGTGGTGGGTACAGGATTTGGTGTCTTTTGCCCCCCCCCCCCCCGTGCCGGGCCATGGGAAGCGAACACGC